TCGAGTAGGCGTACTGCTGTAAGTCCTACACATTCCTATAGTGTAATATGTTATATAATGAACCATGACCGGAGGCATCAAGGTAGCTTGTGTGGTATGGAGGGATTTTGAGGGCCGGTGTAAGATCCATTTTGAATGTTTTGTGTATTGGTGAAAATCCCTCCATGTATATACTTGTACTTTGTTCCTATTGATCCCCTTAGTTGTACATTGTTGTATTTTGGTTACATTTAAATTGTTAATACTTGTATTTTTTATTATAGTTTTGTTTTTATTACGCATTCACTAAGTTTGTGTTTCTTCCTGAACTGCATCTGTGTTGTTTTACTTGACACTTGTTCTTGGCGGTAGCCATATTGATTTGTTCCTCCTGTTGTGTGTGATCTATCCAGTCAGGATAGAATAACGTTCATTTGTTGTAACTGGTAATTTTTCCTCATCTTCTATCAACTTCTTCATTTATTGTAATTTAGATTTGATTGATTGAACAATCATTGGTTGAATAGCCGGGTGGTAATATTTGTTTAGGTAACGATTTACATTTAAATTTATGATGAATTATAGAACCGCTATTTACCCGATTACTTGTTTTGATTTCGACGGGAAAGGGCGCGTGTCTAAAGTCCACGGAAGGCTATTCTTCAACATCCAAACCGTGTTTGGATCCTACAAGGTTGTCCTCAATTCCAACGTACCTAATGTTTACGATCGCCCCAAAGAGGCAATTCTCAGAAACTTACTCCCATCGAGGGAGGAACGTTTGAGGACATTGTTAGCACGTCATCCCCTGGGTGATGCTAAATCAAGCCACCACCTCACGCGCCTGCAATCTCTTGCAGGACCAACAGCATCTGACTCGGAAATAGTTAAGGAATTGTGGCTCGAGTCATTACCAGCTCACATCCAACTTACTGTAACGGCCCTGCTTGAGGATGCAGTGCTTAACCAAGTAGCCCTCATAGCAGAAAAAATTTTGGCGAGGTCTAGTAACAGAGGCAGCTATATAGTTGCTTCAACGGCACGTCCTAATGTAGACATGGACGCTGGTCACACCTCAGCTCATGGCGACAGGGAAGGGTGTATTTGTAGAATTATGGTCTACTATGATATTAGTACTGCTCTAATAATAAACCTAATCCTAAACTTGTCAATTTGTCATGATATAACTGCCTAATCTATAAGATCTTACGTGGAAGTCACACCATCGACTACACCAACTCACTGTATCGTATCAATTACCAATACATGATGTAGAACACGATTAGGCTAGAGAAAGAACAATATATTTAATATGAATAGAAGATATAAAGTAACACTGAGATGGACCACGCCTGCATGGACGAGTCATGCCACTCGATCAACTCCAGTCCATTCAATTCCTTGTTCGCGCCTTCTTCATTGTTAGGTATTTCTCCGCGTTAAATATTGAATATCTATTTTCTGAGTAGTCTCGTGTTCACAGCTTTGTGGATTGTGTGGCTATTGTCCAATGCCACTACATATTCACACACGTCTTAGTTTTCGAGACCGTTGTAACATACCTCAACCCTACGTCCCTCGAGCTCGCTCAAGTTCTCGCGAACCCGTCACCACTCGCCGAAAAACGGAAATCTTCCAAACCACGCTGAAAGGCGGCTTCGGAAGCGAGTGAAAGTTGGTGCTGGTTCCATAGGTCCTTCGGGTCTGGCGCACGCCGTTGTCGAGCACCGTGCTCATGCAAGGCGGGAAACGCCAAAGCCGGCGAGTAAAAGCGGCCGTACTCGCCGGGCCTTCACACCAGGTTGGTCGCTTATTCTATGTGCACGATTACCGCACAAACGCTAGGTTCCTAGTAGACACTGGAGCCCAAGTCTCTGTCGTACCACGGGGTAGCAGCAAGTCACAAGCTACAGTGCTTCGACTACATGCTGCGAATGGCTCAGTCATTCTTACCTACAGTACACGACAACTCGCAGTCAACCTGGGGAACCGACGGCGGTATCTGTGGACGTTCATCGTTGCTGATGTTCCCACAGCCATACTAGGTAACAGCACTATTAATTGCTTGTCGATTCACGTAGGCTGCAGCTAATCGATACTTCGCCGAACTGTAAATTCATGGGCTGCAAAGCCCACACGAACGCCAACCGAATCCTCGTCGCGTTTTACTCGCGTGATGATAAATTCCACGCTTTATTCGAGAAATTCCCCGTACTCACTAAACCACTCGAGGAGATTCCATCGGTGACCAATCGTGTGGTACACCACATAGTCACCCGCGGACCGCCAGTCACGGCACGACCTTGCCGACTGGCACCAGACAAATAAGCTTTCGCCAAACGTGAGTTTGACAATTTACTAGCTACTAGTATTATTCGTTCTTCTCACAATCCATGGGCCTCTCCTCTTCACATGGTGCGCAATAAAGATGGGGTTAGTTGGATGCCATGAGGTGACCACCGAGCTCTAAACGTAGTTACGCGCTTTGATAGCTACCCCATCCTCCACAGACACGACATCACGGCATCGCTCAAGGACACAACTATCTTTTCTAAGATTGATCTGGTACGAGCATATCATCAGATCCCAGTCGCTCTTGAAGATATCGAAAAAACTGCTATCACGACTCCCTGCGGTTTGTTGGAGTTCCTACGAATGCCTTTGGGATTACGGAATGCTGCTCAAACTATTCAAAGGTTTATCGATATCATTGTACGAGACCTAGATTTTGTTCACGTCTATATTGATGACCTGCTAATAGTGTGGTGTGAGCTACTTGTATTGATATAAGTAGTATATAACGTGCGTTAAAAGAACGTAATGTCCGGCAGCAGAAGATGGCGAAGATCAAGAAAGGAAGAGCAAGAGCACAATGGAATTGTAAGAAAACGCATGTACAATGGAATGGGAGACAATGGATTAGTGTTTGCAACGGGAACAGTACAGTTTGATATGATGGAATGATATTTTGCAAATTGACAATTGACTTTATGGTATTGACATTTTACTGAGATAGTCTGTAATTTCTGTGCTAAATACAATCGATTGTCCCCACCCGTGTTCTTGTTCACTACAATAGGATCATCAAACGTTTCTGCACGTACTGCATTTACAGAGATCAAGACGGCTCTTGCGCAAGCCACTCTTCTCGCCCATCCCGATCCATCAGCCACGCTTAGTATAGCGATTGATGCATCCGATGTCGCCATAGGAGCAGTCATGCAACAAAACATCTCCTGTAGTTGGCAACCCTTCGAGTTTTTCTCACGAAGCCTTACTCCAACGGAGACGAGATATAGCGCTTTTGGTCGCGAGCTGCTAGCAGCCTACTGCGCCATCAAACATTTCCGGCTCGCAGTAGAAGCATGTCAGTTCATCTTATTCATCAACGATAAGCCCTTAACGTATGCTTTGCATACCAAGTCTCACCGCTACTCACCACGAGAGTGCAGACATTTGGAATATATCTCCCAGTTCACGACAGACCTTCATCACATCAAAGGCAAGTCGAACTGTGTTGCTGATGCTCTATCACGAATCCAAACGAATGCAGTTACTCTGCCGGTGCTCCATTTTCCTTCTATGGCCGACGCCCAAGCAAACGATCCCTTTTGTACAAAAGCACCACAATCTACGTCCCTTCAGTATCAGGAAGTATCCCTAGTCACGACTTCTGATGCCATTCTATGTGATGCTTCTGCCGGTCCTCCTCGACCCATCGTACCCTCTGCTTATCGTCGTCTCATATTCGATGCCCTGCATGGATTATCTCATCCAGGAATCGCAGATACATTACGATGAAATATTTCACCACCAACTTAAAAGTGCTCTTCGAGCACACGTAAACGACAACTGGTACGAAACCTTACCGCTCGTCCTCTTAGGCATCAGAACGAGCTTGAAGGCAGGTATCCAATGTTCCGCCGCTGAAATTGCATACGGCACGACCTTGTGTCTACCCGGGGAATTCTTCACACCACGGAGCAGATCTCATTTCAGTAAATCAGACTACACGAATCTCAGCAGAGATCTCTTTTCAACGAATTTATTATCAAGCTGTACAATCGTATATATGTGAAAATTTTGTTTTTGCAGAAGCACTAATTCCGTGAGGAAATGTGAACACAGTTGATAAAAAGGTTATAATACTAAATTACGTAATATGAATAATAACAATAACAATGGATTTGATGAATATAATAAGATGATTAAAATGTTTTTGTTATAATAATCAAAGGTCATAGAGGTGTAAAAAATAAATAAGGTGGTATGATGAGAATTTACGAATAAAACAATGAGAATATAAGGCATAAGTAAAGGGGAGAATGCAGTAATAATAATAATAGGATAATCAAAATAACTGAGGTCAAGGTAACGATAAAGATAAGACGTACTTCTTTTGTACGCGTAGTTCTGGAGTTTCATAATTAATCAAACAGTTAGTCATAAAAGGTGTTGCCAGTACAAACTATGTAGCTGAAAAGTTTATTTTACCCTAAACTTTGATAATGAAGATTCCACAGGTATTTGGAGTTTAACAACGCTTCAACCAGTAACACATTCTAATATGAATCTTACCCACCAAGTGAAATCAAAAGACAGGAGCGACGAAGTTCGAAGATATATCTGATAAGCTATAAATATATCGAGGATCGTCTGATCTTATCTGGCTAGCGATTGCAGAGGTTGTTGAGCACGGCGCTCTCATTCGTGATCTGGTGTGGATGCATTACCGAGCGCCTTCAGCTTGATGAGTCCACTAAAGCTAATTTGGTCAGCATTCAATGTCGAAAACTTGCAGATCTATTTATTTTGGGGATTTATTTACCGCTACAATAACTCAGTACAGAACGGCAACGATAGCATCAAAATCAAATCTTCTAGTTAAAATAAATCAAGAAAATCGAGTTTCTGAGTAAGTAATCCCTTTCAATGATGTTTTTAATCAATTCTTAATCGCCTCTTTAGGCCAAATAACATGACTTCATCAACGTTTTTTAATGTAGTCTTGAAGGTCGTTACGTTTTTGAATTTAGGGTCACTAAGCTGGCTCTTGAGGTAGACTGCTTGCCTCTCTACATTTCTGGATATTGAATTATCAAAGTTTAATGGCCATGTATGGACTAGTCAGCGTATTCCTCCTTTGTTACGCTCGGTAATCCACTTCGTACTGTCCATTGTGTAGGTGCAAATACGAGTTTTGGTCACATCACGTGTTGGCTCTTAGTTTTTCGTGTTGACTCGTCGTTGGCTTAGGTATATCTCTTAAGCCTAATGTTGACCCCTTTCAAGCTTAAAAAGCAGTAGAGAGGTTGGGTATATTCACTTGAAATCAGGTTCACAGACACGTAGCTAACAGGTCTCATATAAACAATTCTACTGTCTTCCCGTTTGCATTATGCCTTCGACTTTCGCAAACTTGGAACTACATATATAACAATATATTTGTAAGTAATTACCCATTGTAATGGTTCAGAATCCCTGATTTCTTCTAAACTTGCTTCGTTATACAAAATAACCACCAAGTTTATCAATCCTTCGGTCTGTACTTTTTAAGATATTTATTCATTTTATAAAATCTGTATCGTAATACCGTGCTAATGCGTTTAGGCAGCAATACGATGTTAAATTGGCCGATAGCTGAGACTAATTTATAGACGAACTAATCAGAGTTAATATCACCAGTCATGGATTTGGGGACGAAATTTATCCATTCATTTGGCTAAATCTCACTTATGCATTATAGCCGATGTTAGTTCGTGATTACAAACCTGAATCCAGCTCTTAATCCTAACACACGGCTGTAAGTCATTCCTGATTTCACACACTTGTTAATAACCCAGTAACTGAACATTATCAAGGTCACTCAAAGTTTGTCCATAAATCAGTCTCACTGAATAGACTATTAGGGTTATTAATTTAGGATTTAAATCTAGGTTATAGAAGTTAGTGTCGTAAGTATTAAGTTCAGGAGTTAGGGTTAGGGAGTTTTATTCTTAGCAGTTAGAATAAAGCCGATTTTTGAGATGAGAATTTGTAGCTTAGGTGTAGTTTTGTTCTCTGAGCTGGATGGTTTGGTCTTGGAGCTTTTATTGTTCTTCTAAACAAAATCAGCACACAATTCGGGTAGAAGTTCGTTTATCGTGTCAAAACTCTTAATCCTCTGTAATCTCATCATTGTTTTGTATTTTAAAACCATTTCATAAATCTTCATTCTGATCGGCTGTTTTCTGACTAGTTAATGTCTACGTTGCTTAAGGCCGTCTGTATAGTGCGGTTTTGCTGATTCTGCATCAAAGTATACACTAGATTAAACTTGATCTCTGTCTTTCGGTCCTATGACGAGGAACTCGTGATCCCAAAGCTGCATCTGTTCATGTAAAAAGATTTCAAAATCCTAATAAAGTAAACCTTATCATAATTTTAAGGCATTAAAACTACCAAAGAAATTTATTAGAGATCTCTATTCTTAATTCATACTAAATTCTAGATGACTGTGTATAGCATTCAGTACTTAATTAGGAAAAAAACATCAATGAATAAGGGACGGACATTAAAACTTGTCATTAATTCATCTTCAATATGGTTTTATATTCTCATTTTATTTGTGTTGTTTCTTATCGTATTAACCTAAACCAGCTATGACATCGAAAAATGTAGAACTTGCTATCGAAACCTGTTTGATTAGAGTATAGCATAGAAGTGATTCCCATCAGTTTGATAAAGTAATGGTCAGTCAGTCAGTCATTCAGTAACAACGTAGAACTTCGTACGTACTTACATCAGTTCAAGTTGCCACATCACCTTAGCACAGAGATGCAGTTGTCGATTCAAATCCCGTAGTGGTAGAGGTAGCAAGAGTATAAGTAGTAGTCGGGAAGATTAGAGTTTGGAGATGTTATTTAAAGAGTATAGTCCAGTGAAATAAATTTGGAAAGAGGAAAAAACGAACATGAAAAATTCAGAAGATTAGAATTTTGGAGAACACAATGAGTGGATGCACCTGCGCCATTGCGAACGATTTTGAGCCATGTCATTCAGGGTCTCTAACCATCGGTTGCTATCATCTCGTGGTCCCCAACCAGGTAGTCTACACCTACCAACATGACTCAGTCCACTTGTCAGTGACTTCATGGACTTGTGCCATGTTTTGGTTTGGCCTCCTTTAGCTTTCTTCCAACCTACTCCTATACCACTGAACATAGCACGTCGAGGTGGTCGGTCGTTGGGCATACGTAACACGTGTCCCAGCCATCTCAACTGATGAAGTAATGGCAGGTAATATCACTGTATGTCCAGTTATTCTCATCGGTTGTTGTTAATCAGACATGCGGTAAAATCGAAGTAGCATTTTCGTACAAAATGAAGAGTATTAATTCATTGAAATAAATACATTGATAAATGTGTACATGTTCGTCTAAAAGTAATTTCCAAATAAAATTATGTACAATTACTTCATTTTGTGGTGGTTATTCAGTGTTATGAACTGTCACCCATCAAATTACTTTTCTACAGGTGTTTCAATTCAAGCCATGCTTCCAAATTTACCCATGCGATTAGTAAAGAATCTTGTGAATTTTCCGACTGTTGTTAGACAATCTATTATTGACTCGTATGAAAAACTAAAATCTACGGACTATCGTTCAATTTATGAAATTTACGATAATCTAACTGGATTGGATCGTGTTAGATCCTTACACGTTGGAGTCGCTGAAGTAAGTCATGTTTTACGATTAAATCTTTCTACCAGCCAGTATTTTTCTGTAGATGAAATATAATGCCCCGATTCTCTTCCAGGAATAACGTGGTCACTCAGGCACAACAGTAATATACTTTACCCATGAAACAAGATGTAAATGGGTTCATCAACAAAAAAACTGAATTTCGTCTGAAAATTCAAACCACTGATGTACAGACTGCAATTCACTTTGGTTCGCTACTTGAATCGTAAATCAGCTGAGTAGTGAAAGTTTCTCTTCGTACTTTTTTGGTTGATTGTTGTACTGATAAAATACCCTTCTCTCTTTGCTTTATTACGCTGTTTTTATAAAATGATACCGATTTTTTTTTGCATGTTTGTGCTTTTCCTCAAATGTATAAAGCTTATGTTTTGTTATCTTATCCTGATTTGTTCATATTCTTCACCCCGTTTATATATAAGCGGGATATTGAATATGTAACGACATTTTCTTAATGCTTTTACTCTTTTCCTTCAAATTATAGGCTGAAAGAAACTTCGTACAGAAACAAGTCGAAAGAAGAGCTTGTCAAACGGAAGTGTTTCAGTTAGAAGAAGCTAGAAATCGAATTAACATACAACTAGATAGTGTTAAACGTAGTGATGAAAGTTTTTTGAAATTAGTTACAGAGTTGCATGAGGTAAATAATCATTTTGGTCTCTTATCCTAATTATGTTTTGGTAAAGTGTTATGAATTGCTTGATAAAGTTTGAAAGTTCAACTTCCTTAACTCAGTGTAGAATGATTTAGTATGATCTAGCTAAGATATAGTATTCACCTGTAACTGATAGTTGATCAGATGGCCCAGGTGTTTAATCCCACATGGTGCTTTATCAGTCAGTTAATCATATGCAACATTGAACTAGGCTAACATAATCATTTATTCAGTTTGTCACATCGTATCATCACAGTGAGATAAAATTATCAAAACAAATGCCAGAATTGTAGTAGCCAGTATAAATGGTAGTATAAAACATTAGGAATCGAGGAACATTATCAAGATTTTTCAATCACTTATCTTGTCTACTGCTCAGAGCTTATTTATGTGTCAGCACTTACCAAAACTCCTCCTTCCAGAAGTCAATGGCTATTATGGGGGCTGATACTATGTTTTGGTTTAGTTCTCCTTGGTTTACTTCCAATTTACTCCTACACCAGCAAACAGCATTTCGAAATAAGGGAATTCGATATTCACTTTACGGATAAGTGTTTACAATATTGTCTGATTCACAAGTTTCAAATCCGTCACTTCAGATTACAGTGTCATCCACTTGATACTATGGTTGATTGCATCATAGTATTACTTACAAGTGGCTAGCATATAACTCATCTATAGTTAATACCTATTTTTTGAATTCTATTGTTTCCAACAGACAAACTAGTCAGTCACTCATAATCAACGTACGGCACGACACTAATGTTCACCAACGCAAGTTCCCATACCACGTTAGCATAACCAGATGTAATGAATACGATAAATAACAAGATCCGAAATAGCAGTGAATTATTAAACACTGGGAATATAGTTAGAAAATAATTGATAAGTTATCCATGAAGGAGTACTAAAGCTAAAGATCTGAAGGAAAATAAAGATCGAATGCATATTCATATGCGCCATTGTGGGGCATGTTACCCAATGTCCTCAACCACTTATCGCGGTTATCGGGTGGACTCTCACTGAGTAGTGCGGCGTAAACTTCGGTCATTGATTTCATTGACTAGTCCCAAGTCTTGATTTGGCTACCCTTATATTCCTTCAAAATTTCTTTTGAACAACCTATAAATATGACACAAGCCTACATAGAACAGATGAAATGTGGCTAGTGGTGGAGTCCAGGATACGGACTGCGGCTTATTTGGAACTCTTCAAATGTATATACCTGCCACATCCCAGAGTTGATCAAATTATGAATAATAGGATAATTAAAAAAACCACATATTAAATCAGAAATTCGTACACATTGCACAAGTGTGTAACCATTCGGATTCAATGGCTAACTGGATTACGCGTTAGCTCTTGAATCGAAGGATTCTGGGTCTAAATCTCATCAATATCAGCCCCCAAATGCCCTGGTATGGCCGAGAGTGGGGAGGGCCCGTCCTACCTCTCGAAATGCTCTCACACGGCCACGCGTATACAGCCTTTGCCAGGGAATTCCTACTCACTGCCTTCTCGTGGCGGGGGTGTTGTTTACGAAAATGAGAAGACGAAAAGCGAATGTCCGGCGCTTTAGCCGGATTCCAAACCAATGGTGCACATGGGCTCTGGCATCCTGTGGGAACAAATGGCGTATGAACCAATTGTTGGTCACCGGCTACCATAGGACTGTATCTCCTCACGATGCTCCACTGCCTTGTGGGACAGACCTTTGGGTTAAAGGCTTGGGGTGTGATCCCCTAAAAAACCACCTACTTCGATCTGGGCATCTGGTCAGTATCACGGCCTACGCACAAATAGAATGAAATTTGTGTGGCGCATATATATTTGGTGCCCCCTTGAACCAATGTTTATGTGTTCAAATAAAATAAATAAATAATAAGAAAATCAACTCATCTCCACCATCTCAAAATCAAATGAGCTTAACCCGCTTCTCGTTGTTCGAAGGTAAGGGGATTTCGCCAAAAGTCAGACTTCCACTGAGGAACAACTCTATTTTCTCCATGAGTGTCTTCGTCAGCATGTTCTGCCAACAAGTGTAGGATACAGACCACCAATGGGATGGAGAATAGCTGAGCAAAACAGAAGGCAAGTGGTGCATCTAATTATATCTGATGCACGCTACATGATCCACAAATACCAACACATCATGGATGATCGGAAGAGGATGCCAGATATGATACATCAGAACATTTGAAAATCTTGACAACAGCGATCTAGATATCAAGCAGACGATACAAAGAACAAGGAAGGAACACTTTCAAGGAAAAACTAACGAAGATTTCAAAGCTACCCATAGAAGAATACACAAACAACTGCGTGGTCAACCTGTCAAAACAACCTCTGATGAATATGGAAGAACACTTCATCCGAAAAGGACTGAACTACAATACAAGTGACGCTTCAAAAATAGGATTTTACGCTGCACTAGAGTCATCACTCAAAAAATCCGGAATAAATGGTCAACAGAAAATAAGACAAACCATAGTACCGCTAACTCAGAGGAAAAATAAAAACATCCAACTGACCGCACAAGAACGAAAAGGCTTAAAAAGTCTCAGAACCAGAGAAGATATTGTCCAGCGGACAAAGGATGGGCTACAATGAATATGGACATGATAGAATATATCAGGAAAGCCGAGGAACTACTTGAGGACAAAAGAGCATATAAATCAGTGGACACAAGTCCAATCAAAAGGTTAGGCAAACGAATTTAAAGGACTTTAAACAAGCTCGTCAAAGCTGAACAAATATCAAACCAAGATCAATGGAGAATGAAATCCAGTGGACCATTACTCCCTCGACTCCACGGCAGGCTACAAATACACAAACCAAACATCCCACTACGTCCATTTCTATCACTCCCCAGAACCCCAACATACAATTTATCCAAATAAATTCCAAAAATATTGAAAAATCTAGTGGATTCATCCAATCACTCCATAAAATATCCCATACATTTCTCGAACAATGTTGAGGAGATTCAGATCAACAACGACGAACTGATAACATCCTTTGGTGTAACAGCCTTATTCATCTCAACTGAATCAAGCTTAACAAAGGAAACTATTCCGTGCGGAAATGTGAACACAGTTGATAAAAAGGTTATAATACTAAATTACGTAATATGAATAATAACAATAACAATGGATTTGATGAATATAATAAGATGATTAAAATGTTTTTGTTATAATAATTAAAGGTCATAGAGGTGTAAAAAATAAATAAGGTGGTATGATGAGAATTTACGAATAAAACAATGAGAATATAGGTAAAGGTGGAAATGCAGTAATAATAATAATAATAATAATAATAATAATAATAATAATAATAATAGGATAATCAAAACAATTAAGGCCAAGGTAACGATAACGATAAGACGTACTTCTTTTGTACGTATAGTTCTGATTTAAGCTCCTGGATGGTAAGAGCTTCAGCTATTTTTAAGAGTTGGATACGAAGAAATCTGGATAGATTTGAACGAATCATATAAACAACCTTAAAGTCAATTTGTGGATCTGTAAAATGGTTATAGTCGATTAGGTGTTCAAGTATAGAACTCCTAACTGCTTTCCTTTCACCAAGCTGGGATATGTTCCCGTGTCCGAGTTGAAAGCGAGCGCTGGCTACGGCTAATGTACCTTGCTCCAAAAAAGTTAATATATATACGATTGTACAGCTTGATAATAAATTCGTTGAAAAGAGATCCCTTCGCTGAACTTTGTGTTATAATTTTAATGTTTAAATGGGAGTTATCTGTCAATTGAAGAAACTCTATTCCTCCTCTTCACCAATGACACAAAGTACATGAAGCGTCAAAGTCAAAGCTTACTAAAACTCATCCATTTATGCTTAACAGCTATTTCAATTCAACAACAAAATCCACGAACAAACGAGAGGAGCACCAGTGGGACTACCAATATCAAGACTTATTACAGAAGCAATGCAGATACTGAAAGCCTCGGTCTTACCAGTTATCAATCCAAAAATGCGGATCCGTTATATGAACGATACATTCATCACCTTCAAAAAGAATGTGCTGGAAAGCACCTACAATCTGATCAACAATGTCTTCGATAACATAAAGTTGACAATGGAAAAGAAGTCCAACAACAAACTATCATTCTTGGATGTATTAATCACCAGAACCGACACAGGAAAACTGGGGACTCAAGTATATCGGAATCCGACCTGCACAGACCAGATTGCCGATTGCGGTAGCAACAACCCAAGAACTCACAAAATCATTTGCGTCAACAATAACCATTCAGGATCGAGGTCGATAGTACAAACTGTGAGGTATATGTGGAGAAATTCGAACATTTCACTACTGCCTGGAGTTTACGTTGATGATGTTTAGAAGAACAATGAAAGCTAAACAACCAGACCATGCAGCTGACTAATCCTAAATAAGGTGAAACCTACATCAGTCAGTCAGTCAGCTACAACGTAGGACCAGGCACATATGTGCATCGGTCCAGGTTGCCATACCTCATTAGCACAGCAAGATGAACACCGGATTCATAGGAGTGGTTAGGTCAAAGGTTGCAATAAGGATATAGTATAGGAAGAAAGAATTAGTTCGTTGAAAGAAAGATATGAAGTGATTTTAATCTCTTAGTTTAAGGGAAGACAGGGAGTGTATACACCGACGCCATTGTGATCGATTCTGAGCCATGTCACCAAGAGTCTCCAACCATTGGTTACGAAAGTCACGCGGACCCCAACCAAGTAGTCTGCATCTACCAACAATATGAATGTCACGTCTTGGTTGCTACTGTTAGTCGAAATACAACAATGAGTAGAAAGTTAAATGAAACAAGTCAAACCTTTCTAATAATACCTAGTTAAATGTAACGTTCAAAAATGGTTTTTCGTCAAAGCATTTCCAGATATTTTGTTTGTTTTATTAGGAAATTTCGTGTCTAAAAATAAACTGAGCTGTTAATCACCTTACAGATTATACCAAAATGTATTTCATT